TCTTCATTTTGAACAATATTTTTTCAAATTCCAACTAAATTAGTTCCTGGTTTGGAAGTGACAGTAACACCTCGGAAGGGTGCCGTGGAGAGCCGACAGGAGTTAGCATAGAAGTGCATCCATGCTAATGTGAAGGCTGCAGTCTGATGCTCCTGCAGGCAGGGGCTCCGTGTCTCCAATGGACGGTTTCCTGAAGGAGGGGCAGAGCCTGTGGAGCAGCCCATGAACAAACTCAGCTTCCTCGTACACTGCTGAGATAGCAAGAGCCATCTTCACCTCTTGGTCCCCAGCACAGAAGCCCATCTGAGAAGTGCTGATGACTTACCAAGTTTTAGCTGAAATAGATTATTATATTGTTGGTCAGTAATGACAAACAGATAAAAATGTAAATAAATAAATACTCTTTTCAACAGTGTTTAATTTCCAATTTCATGTAAATTATTTGTTTATTTGTATTTTTTAACCACGTCAACCTTGGACATTATTAGTATATTAGAATAGTAAACAGTAACCAACTAAACAGAGAGGTCAAAATATATTAGAAATGGTTCAACAAGAAGAATGAGCAGATAAATTGAGAGAACTGTGAAATTGTGTTTTGCCTTTATTTATTTATATATTTATATTTATATATTTTGCCTTTTCTGGTTGTATTTGTTTTTATGCCCTGCAAATGAAATTGTAAAAACTGAATTCATTGAATGAATGAATGAATGAATGAATCTATTGCAAATGACACTTAGAAAATATTTGGTTATTTTTGTATTTTGTTTTTATTTTGTATTTTTTTAATCATTTTAAAAAATGATTTTTCAAAGATGTAAAGAAAACCAATATAATTGCATTATGTTTTACAAGAAAATACTTTTTTCGGTATTTCTACTTAAAATTTTTTTGTTTAATTCAGTGCATTGATTGCCATTTCTTTGTAAACATTTGTGCAATTTACAAGCAATTTCAGAAAAAAATAATAATTCTGATTATAAATATTGTTAAAATGTACTGACAAGCATTTATGGTAAACTAATGTAATTTTATTGAAACTTGTATGTCATATATTGAAACATATTTGTAATTTGTTGCTATTTAATAAATTTAAAACACCTTAACTTTAAATATATGATATCAAATAAGTACTTTACATATGCTTTAGTATGTTAGTCAACACATTAAAATAAGTGTACTTCTTTAGAAAATATTTGGTTATTTTTGTATTTTGTTTTTATTTTGTATTTTTTTAATCATTTTAAAAAATGATTTTTCAAAGATGTAAAGAAAACCAATATAATTGCATTATGTTTTACAAGAAAATACTTTTTTCGGTATTTCTACTTAAAATTTTTTTGTTTAATTCAGTGCATTGATTGCCATTTCTTTGTAAACATTTGTGCAATTTACAAGCAATTTCAGAGAGAAAATTGTTTCAAAGTAAAAAAAAATTTAATCAGTGTGAGCTACCAAAAAAAATAAAATAAATACAAATAATAAAAATCTGTTTTGTTGAGTCCTGACATTTAAAATCTCCTGATATAATTTTAAAAGGTGTAAATTAAGATGAACATGCAATGATAAATAGACTTCAGACATCATAAACACCACTGGTTTATTGTAAGAGTCACTTTGCATTTAGCATCACCCTGTTGTCTTTCCAGATTTTGATCATCAATCAGATGAATGGTCTTTCTGGTTTAGTTATTCAGTAAACACTCCCGTATCGTGCAGTGTCACACACTGACCTGTCTTTGCCAGCTTCCTGCTCAGAAGAGCAGCCATGTGTTTTCTGCTGTTTATGTCACTCTTGTGGAGAGCGGCTGAATGTAGCTGGCAGGTCTCTCTACCCCTCATTTATCTGCTGCTTGCGGTCTGTTAGAACCACTTGAGAAGCTCTCCTACTGCCTGTGATCACGTTGGATCACAGGGCCATCGCAAAACTTATATAATCAAGTACAGCAATTAGCAAAACAGAGGGATGGTGTACCTGCCTGATATGAACAGGCTCATTCATTCACTAGAGCAAGATAACAGCCATCATTTAAGTCCCATCATTTAATTATTTTAATTTATCAAAAACACTGAGGAATATGGATGAAACAAGGTATAACACAATGACTGTTAGACACAGGAGTGCAGAAGAAGGCTCTTGCTCTGAAGGATAAAATCACTGTCATTCATCATTTTCATTTCAATATTTTTTTGTTTTATTACAAAATCCTAATGCTTATTTTATGTGGATTAGAATGGGGTGTTTGCGTACTCTTGTACAAAAAGAACAATTTACACCAGCATTTAGCTTTTAAAAAGAGTACTCATCTTAGACCATTAGGCAGAAATCTGGTTTATAAAGCAATACGTATTGTTTTCTTTTACATGTTAATCTTCAGTATTTTCAATAATTGCTCTGTATACAGTTCAGCTTTTTCTTTCTGTGTTTATCAAAACTTTAAAACCTTAAATAAAATAATACTTATTACAGAAATAATATACTTTAAGGAATAAAGGCAAACTGGATGTAATGTTTTGAGACACTTAATTACATGTAAATTAAATATAATATAGTTTAAATTTATATTAAATACAGTTGAAATGTAGAGTGCTTTTTTGACATAGATTTGTATGTACACTGCAAAAAATGGAAACAATTTTCACAATTTTTGAGTAAATTTTACAATATTTAGAAACTGTATTAAAAAGAGTGAAATTGTATTTACTTGTAACATACTCCAATAATCTGTTTTATTTACTTAAAAAAAATAATAATTCTGATTATAAATATTGTTAAAATGTACTGACAAGCATTTATGGTAAACTAATGTAATTTTATTGAAACTTGTATGTCATATATTGAAACATATTTGTAATTTGTTGCTATTTAATAAATTTAAAACACCTTAACTTTAAATATATGATATCAAATAAGTACTTTACATATGCTTTAGTATGTTAGTCAACACATTAAAATAAGTGTACTTCTTTAAAGCATGACAAACTAATTTTAAAACAATGATTTAAAGTTTGATTTAAAATAAACTTTTTAAATTGGCATTACATTAAGTGGCATTTTATTGTATTAATATTATATTATCTGCAAAAATATATTTGAAGTACACTACAAATGTACATTAAATTAAGCACACTTCTTTTTTTTACAAGGGTACATTAAAGGGATAGTTCACCCAAAAATGAAAATTCTGTCATTAATTACTCACCCTCATGTCGTTCCAAACCCGTAAGACCTTCGTTCATCTTCGGAACACAAATTAAGATATTTTTGATGAATTCTGAGAGCTCTCTGACCCTTCCATAGACAGCAAGGGTACTACCACAATCAACGTCCAGAAACGTAGCAAGGAGATCGGTAAAATAATCCATGTGACATCAGGGGTTCAACCGTAATTTTACAAAGCTACGAGAATACTTTTTGTACGCAAAAGAAAAAGAAAAAAAAAACGACTTTATTCAACAATTTGTCTCCTCCGCTTCACCCTAGCGCCATTTTGGAGAGTATCCACTGAACGCAAACAGCTTATGTTGTTCTGTGTCAGCTGCGTCACACGAATACTTTGTTTTCGTTCAAATCAAAGCACAAACAACGTAGAAAACGTATTCGTGTGGTGTGGCTGACACAGAACAACATATGCTGTTTGCGTTCAGTGGATACTCTCCAAAATGGCGCTATAGGGTGACGAATTGTTGAATAAAATCGTTTTTCTTTTTCTTTTGCGCACAAAAAGTATTCTCGTAGCTTCGTAAAATTACGGTTGAACCCCTGATGTCACATGGATTATTTTACCGATCTCCTTGCTACGTTTCTGGACGTTGATCGTGGTAGTACCCTTGCTGTCTATGGGAGGGTCAGAGAGCTCTCAGATTTCATCAAAAATATCTTAATTTGTGTTCCGAAGATGAACGAAGGTCTTACGGGTTTGGAACGACATGAGGGTGAGTAATTAATGACAGAATTTTCATTTTTGGGTGAACTATCCCTTTAACACAAAATAGTCTTTCTAGCCTAGATAGAGAAATCTATCATGGCATAGTGTCTAATTCTGCCTCAGGATGAAGCAGCTGCTGATGCAGGAATGTGAGGGTCAGTGCCGCCACCTGGTCAGAGATCTCACTCTCGAACCCTACGTTCACACTGCCTGAGCTTCTCCACTCACGGGACAACCAGCCCAACAGCTGTCTTTTACGACAAATATAATGCAATATCTGGCACTGAGCTTGTATAAAAATATTTAAAGCTGCAGCCCTCCAAAATAATGTTCGATTTCACACCAGCATATTCTACGCTCTTTGCATTCTTTGTGTGGATTTGGGTCAAAGTTGCACGGCGAGGGCGATTGCAACATTCTTTTGGTTTATCAGGATCTCTATTAGGACGAATCTTCAGTGGATGAGAGGAGTCTGTTTAAAACTGCAATTGTTCAAGTTGTCTTGGATGGCCAGACAGGAAGCGCATACCGACATTTAAGAGTATTCACATAAACATTTTTGCAATATAACTGCATTTATGACACGTCCCAGATTTTGCAGCTTTGTGAGAGATGAAGTTAAATGTGAATGGAATGACACTATCCCTTCTGGGACTTTGCGTTCTCCGTACTTCCCTCCCAAAATTGGTCAAGAGCAGCATAAGTGGTGTGTTTTGGTGCCACTGACCTCTCAAATGCCTTACATCCCATTGACGAGGAAAAGTAAACAGATTTAAAATAAATGTGAAATTATGAAGAACTTCCGCTGACAACATTTAAACGGACAGTAATCACTGTAATGATTTAATAATCCATCCAAACAAAACAGATTGTTTGCCAATAAAACTTAGCAGTTCATGTATAGCAGTAAAACGAATGACTTATTCCTTAGATGATTTGACATCAAAAATAACCTATTAACATGTATTACGAACAGAAAACAGAAAACACCAATCAGTAAAGTCACAAGACAAATATATTAAAGTAAATCAAGATTTTCTCAGACATTCGCACATTTCTGCCTGCTGTACTAATACAATCAGTTCTTTCAACAGAACCTGTGGTAAGTACATAAACGCAGTTCGTGTCGCGAAAACCTCCTTTGTGTAGAGAAAGAGGGAGATCTACCTCTTAAGCCTCATTTGGGGTTTGTGGCGTCCTTTACAGAAGCGTCCTGAAGTGGATCTCTGTCCATGAGCACATATTAAAGGCACAAACTCAAGACAGGATTGTATGCTTTACAAAAACACTAGTTTTCCCCAAAGCTGTTTTTGTGCTTGTCTCGCTGATAGAGACTGATGTTCCCCTGAATAGTTCCCATGAAAGTCCTGTGAGGAAGGAATCCACACGCAGTGCTGTGGGCCTCAGCTGCAGAAGTGGTCCAGTCTCAGGCATGGAGTCCAGTGAATCTTCTCTGTCTCAGAACCAAACACTGGCCTTCGCTTTGCCTTGCTCAAGCGCTGCAGGTAAGCAGATAAATCATTAAAACATGTCTGCTTTACTCAGCAATGTAACATTAGAATGTGTCATTTATAATAGCAGAAGATATGTTAGTAGGATGCAACAGTATTCAAATTCTGGTTGATATTTATTTTCATGCTATTTTGAATAAATTTAAAATAAACCAATACTATTCTGAAGATTACTTTTTAAAGTGTTATTAAATTCTATGTAAAAAAAATTATATATATATATATATATATATATATTATTAGTTTTGTATTTTTATTTTTTTATTGCACTTCTGAGCATTTGATGATGGCAAAAGTCATCTAAATGTAAAAATAGAGAAAATAATGATGTACAATTATGTATCCAACATTGAATCCAATACTGACCAATAAATTATAATATCTCTAATACTGACTGATAACTGACATGGTATTGATATTTTGTGCATTCATATATATATATATATATATATATAAATAAATGT